TCCTGAGTCTCACGCTCCCTTTTTCTTAGGGCAAGTCCTTCTCGTACCTTGGCCATAGATTTCCGAACCACTCCTGTATGATCTGCGTAGAAGCAACATTCTTCTCCTAGAGCTATACATAATCCTTCTTGTTGGAGAAATATGAGATCTAACCCTCGGCGGTTTTGTAACACAACCTCTGATAGCAAGGTTACAGATTTCTCTAAATGTGATATAGAGGCTTCTATCCTTTCAAGGTCTTCGTCTATAGCTGCTCTTAGGGAATTCATGCCTTGATTCTGTACAGATAAAGAAGCTATTCCTAGACCGGTTCCCGCTAGGCCAACCAGAGTAGCTAGGGTAAAGGCTGCAGTGAGTGGTTCTCTTTTTACTCTATCAATCCTGCCCCAGTGTACATACATCTCTTCCTCTGGGTGGTAAAGAATTTGGGGCACAACAGTCACTAGCACACAATGATCTAAGGACAGATTAAGTAGTTTCAAGTTTAAACAAGGTAAAAGTCCAGCTCTTGAGCAAAGCCACCAACCCCCTTTCCTGGGAATGATCCAGCTAAAGGACGAGTTTATTTCTGTAAATGAGGCACAATGTTTTTGAGTGTTGGGGAGTTTCCCCACACATAAGCCCTTTCCTGTCATACGTTGTATAGTAATTCCTACCTTACGGTCTTTCCAGGAGCAATTCTTTGGGCTCAGGTCATGAGAATAGCTGAAAGAGGTATTAATGCCTATCACTTCATAAAATGGAGGTTTTACATCGTAACAGAGCCAACAGGTTTGAGTCAGGTTAGGGCTAGTATGGTTAAGTGTTTGGTAGGCTGCTAGCATTAAATTCCAAAGAGGGTCTATGTCCTGAGGATTGGCTTGGACCCTCGGAGTTGTATGGGGGACTCTTACTGTAACATCAGGGGTTACAGTGCTCAGTTCTTTCAACGTCTTTCTTGTAGAGGGTGGGGTTTCTTTTCCCAGGGGTTTTAACACTTCATTTGGACCTACCGACCCAGCATCTAAGGTCTCTACTTCCTGTAAAATAGTTATCTCCCCAGATGGGTAAGGGTATGCATAAACTCGAATGCCCCAATTGAGTCCTGACTTCCACTTGGTTAATTCATTTTTTCCTTGTTCAGTGAATGTAACCTTTATCTGCTCATCCCTTTCTCCATTTGAAGTTTGGGATCTACATCTGGCTGGGCTGTTGGCAAAGGAGAATTTTACGTAATCATTGGCGTTCACCTCCCACTTCCCATTCCCATCATTAGAAGTTACACAGCTCCAACTTTTACAGTAATACCAAGGGAGCCCCCCACATTGCCGGCTATTTCCTGTATACCCTGGGCAAGTGTAAAACCCCATAGCTCTGATATGGCATTTGGCCCACTCACATTCTGTAGCTTGTCCAAGGGAAAAAAACAAATCAGGCCACCATACATTAAGGGGGGTGGTGGATGTGGTGGAGTTTAAGGTCTCATGAGTCTGTCTGTTGCGAATTCGCCAAGTGACTTTATAGGGTTGGTGAGACGCGGCACTTATCGCGAGGTGGTGGAAGCTCAGGGTGAGGACGAGAAGGGCTCTAATCTCCATGGTGCTGCATTAACTTGATTTTCAGTAGGTTTTCAGGATCGGAGCATGCTTTCCAATTTGCTCATGCAGACTGCTGTTCTGTCTGGTTAGCTCTCCTGATATGGCAGTGGTGTATCCAGGCGCTGATTCC